TGTCTTTAATACCATCTATTAAGAGACGTTCAATACTTTCTATCTCTTCTATGGAGATCGATATATCCCTTTCAAGAGGAGGCATTTTCTTGATTTCTTTTTTCAGTTTCCTTCTTCTGAACTGCAGTATCATGACCTTTTCAACTGCTCTTGTTAGCAGTGGGGTCCAAAAGTTAAACACAATCTTCCAAACATGAAGCAAAATTTAAGAACATCCAAAATGGTCCTTAGAAGGTTTTCAAGGGTCACCCATGTTCTATCATGTAACCTGCCTGCTTTCTTTTCTCTCCCTTCCACTTCCTTTTTCCATCGCTTCTTTTCCTTTCTTCCATCCTCTGTCCCACCTCTTTCCCTTCGTTCCTTCCTGTCACGTTTAATCTCATCTTCTATGTATATACACATAATTTCCCTAAATAGGATTATTTCATAATTTTGTATCTTTATATAAAAGATTTATTGAAATATAACTTACATGCTGCAAAAACTCTACCTTTTTGGGTGTGCATCCTTCACATCCCAAATGGGGAACATTTTATTGTCCCTCAAAGAAACTCTGTACCCATTGACAGTCATTCTCCCTTTTCCCTCTTCCCTTGTCAATTACTAATATGCTTTCTGTCTCTATAAAGGGAATAATATAACACTTGGCCTTTTTTTACTGGCTTCTTTTACTTAGCGTAATGTTTTCAAAGGTGATCTATGTAGAATTATGCATCAAATATTTCATTTATTTTGGTTAACACTGTTGTTGTATATAATTCACATACCATACAATTTACCCTTTGAAATTTCATAATTCATTAGCTGGTTAGTATATTTACAGAGAGCTGTGAAACCATTGTTAGAATCAATTTTAGAACATTTTCATCACCTCAGAAACTCTGAACTCTTTTGGGAATATACTCAGGAGAGGTATAGCTGAGTCAAATAGAATATTCCTGAAAGAGTTAAACACCTCATACTATAGCGACACATGCATACCCGTGTTTACAGCAGTGCAATTTCCAGGAGCTAAGGTCTGGCAGCAGTCCAGATGCCTATTAACACATGAATGGACAAAGAAAATGCGTTACACAATGGGATATCATTTATCCATAAAGAAGAATAAAAGCATGTCATTTGCAGGAAAATGTTTCGAGACCATAGTGTTAAGTAAAATAAGACAGACATGGAAGGTCAAATATTGCAGGTTTCTCTTCTATGAGAAACCTAAAATATAAATAAACAAAAGATTAAAATAAGGGAGAAATGGTAGGAAACAAAAAGGTGTACTTTTTGGAGGTGGGGGAGGAGACTAGGTGGTGGGTTAGGGAGGGAGGTAAAGGAATTGAAAATGATTACGATATGTTATATACGTATACGAATTCCCCAAAACAAATGTAACCATTATGTATTACAAATACACACTAATTAAAAAACTTAATTTTCCAACCAAAAACATAAGTTTTGTGTCCAAAAAAGAACAAAATCATGTCATTTTCAGAAAATGGTTGGATCTAGAGATCATCATGTTAAGTCAGATAAACTAGGCTCAGGGGAAAACAAGAAACTGTACTACCCATTTAGCAATTTTCTTTATTAGCCTCTACCTCAGCCCTTGGAAACTGTTAATTTGATTTCTATCTCTATGCATTTACCTGTTCTGGACATTTAATATCAACAGCACTTGTATCTAACTTATTCACTTAACATAATGTTTTATAGGTTCATTGGTGTTGTAACTTGCATCAGAAGTTTTACTACTGAATAGCACTATTCGAATATACCACATTTTATCCATTCATCAGTTGATAGCTATTGGGGTGTTTTCACCTTTGAGCTGTTCCAAATAATGTTGCTATCAATATTTGTGTACAACCTTTGAGACAGATATATGCTTTTCTTCTCTTGATTGTATGCATAGGAGTGGAATTACTGTCAAATGATCAAATAATAAGTGTATGTTTAAACTTTTGAGAGATCACCAGACTAATCTCCAAAGTGGTTTACTATTTAACATTACCACTAAATGTAAATGCAGTGTATGGGGGGTTTCCAATTTCTCCACAGCCTTGCCAACACTTAGTTATCTGAATCTTTTATTCCAGCCACTTCAGTGGGCTTGAAATAGTATCTCATTATGGTTTTAATTTGTATACCCTTGTTGACTGATGGTGTTAAGGACCTTTCCATGTGATCTTATCCATCTGTACATCTTCTATGGAGAAATGTATATTCATATATTTTGTTCATTTTTAGTTGGTTATTTATCTTTTTATTATTGAATTACTTAATTCAGTAATGAGAGCTCTTAGTAAGAGTTTATCTTCATATATTCTAGATAGAAATCCCTTGTCAGATATATGATTTGCAAATGTACTTTCCCATTACGTATCTTTTCATTTTCTTGCTTGTAACCTTTGAAGAGCAATTATTTGGTACTAGGGATCGCAAGGCCTCACACATGCTACGCAGGTGTCTACCACTGAGCTGCATACTCAGCCCACAGATATTTTTAAATGTGTTGAAATCTGATTATCTTTTTGTTGTTGTTGCTTAAGCTTTTCATGTCCTATCTAGGAATCCATTGCCCAATCTAGGAAAATTCACCATTATGTCTTCCTTTGAGTATTTTATAGTTCTAGCTCTTATATTTAGGTCTTTGATCCATTTTGAATTAATTTTTATATATGGTATGAAATACAGATGCATATTTATTTTGCATGTAGATATCCAGTTGCCCCAGCACAATTTGTTGTAAACACTATTCTTTGCCATACTCAGATAAGAGATACTATATGGTATTTAAGTTTATGTGTCTGATTTATTTCACTCAACATTATATTTTTCCAGGTGCATCCATTCACCTACAGAGATCTCAAAATTTTTCTTCTTTACAGTAGAGTAGTATTCCATTATGGATAGATACCACACAAAATAAGATGAATAATATCAACAATGAAAACAGGGAAAAGGGATTTAAAGGAGGTGGGAGGGAGGCGGAAGGGAAGGAGAAGAGGACTACAAAAAAGGACCAAGTTATGTTATGTACATGTACAGCTTCCCAAGATGATTGTAAACTGCATATACTGCAAACACGTACTAATTAACAAAAAAAATGACTATTCTTACCCCCACTAACTGGTCTTGATATCCTTGTTGCAAATCAAATATGGGTGTATGGGTTTATTTCTGAGCTCTCAACTCTATTCCATTCATCTATAGGTCTATCTTTATACCAGTACTTCATTGTCTTGGAATTGGAATATCAATAAAAATTGCATTGAATTTGTAGATCAATTTGTGGAGTATTACCATCTTGACAAGATTAAATCTTCCAACCCATGAACATGGGATAACCTTACATTTATTTAGGGCTTTCTTTAATTTATTTCAGCAGTGTTTTTCAATTTTCAGAGTATAAGTTTTGTACATCTTTTGTTAAATTTATTCCTAAGTATGTTATTCTTTTCATGCTATTGCAAGTGGAAGCATTTCTTAATTTCCTTTTCAGATTTTTCGTTGCAAGTATATAGAAATATAATTTAGGAGTATTGGTTTTATACCTTGCAACCTTGCTCAAGTCATTCATTAGTACTTTTAGTGGATTTCTTAAGAGATTTTATGTACACAATCATGTCATCTGTGAGTAGAGATAATTTTCCTCTTCTTTTATATTCTGGATACATTACATTTCATTTTCTTATCAAATTTTCCTAGCTATTACCTCCAATGCAAAATCGAATTAAGGTAGTAAAAGCATTCATCTTTGTGCTGTTCTTGATCTTTAGATGGAAAATATCCAGTCTTTCATCATCAAGTACGATATTTGCTGTGGTTTTTTTTGTTTGTTTGTTTCTTGTTATAAATGTCCTCTATCAAGGTGGAGTGCATTTGATGGAAATGGCGTTAGCTGGGTTTATTCTGCAGCTGTTGAAATCATCATGTGGTGTTTGTTTTTATTCTATTGATATAGTATATTGTATGTATTGATTTTGATGTTAAACTAACTTTACATTCCTTGCAGATGTTATTTTGTTTCAGTAAATACTCCTTTGTATATGTTACTGGATTCAGTTTGCTAGTATTTTACTGAGGAGTTTTGCATCTGTATTTATAATATGTACTGGTCTGTAGTTTTTTTATCGTGATTCCTTTGCTTTAAATTTTAAAATGTAAAATATATCATCATGTCGCAATGAAATCTTTTGTGCCTTTAACTTTTTATTTATTTCTAACGTTTCCCTGATTTTCCTTAACACATAATTGTGATCAAACTAAATTGGTTCCATTCATAGTCAGAAGGGGTTTCCAACTGGGTTTACAAGGCTGGAGATAAGAGGGGCATGGATGGTATATGACATGAACTTGAAAAGAGGACAGATGTATCACAGATCTGCTGTGTGAAACAGGAGAAAAACCTGCTGAATGAAAATCTCCTACATCTTGGTAGATTTTTGATATTTTAAAACAAATCAATTATAGTATATGTGCTGTCAAAGCAAGCACTAAAACAATTTAAAACAGACACTGAAGAAAAAACTGGGTGTGAGAGATCTTTGATAACCATCCATTCTCCAGAATTGCATTATAAAATTGCATATTTTAAATGGGTGAATTGAATGCTATGTAAACTACATTTCAATGAAACTTTTATATAAGAGACATGTTCATAATATAAAGAATTAAAATCATTCAGAAGTATGTAAGTAGGAAATGGAAATCCTTCTCCTCCTAGTGTCATTCTGCATCTAGCACTAACAATTTGGTGGATATCCTTCCAGATGCTTGTCTTTGAACAAAACTTATAGATGTATGTAATATATGTGTATATATTAAGTGGGTACATACTACTTTTTATTTTTTCACTTCATAGCTTATGGACAGCTTTCTGTATCAGTACATATGCCTCCCTACATTCCTTCTGAGGTATCTCTGGCAAACTATGTTGTGAATATACATTTGTCTTCAGTACCTGTGGCCCTTAGCCTGTTTTTACAGGACCTTTTCTTTCTCTCCAGAAGCAAGAGCAGCATGGGGAACAAAGCCCTATCCCATGAGAGCATCTTCATGTCAGATACTGAGCTTGAAATTTCAGCAAGTGAAATAAGCTCTTCTAGAAAGTTCCGAAGAAGCAAAACTCTGCGGGTAACAGTGGAATTGAATATCAGTGTCTAATTAGCATACTTCTCTTCCATCCCCTGCTTTTACTAAAAAGTGTGTCCTGGGAGTGGATTGCCCTTGCTTCTTAGCTAATTCCACTCTACAAGGGTATTATTAGCACTGAATGACAAGATGTATAACTTACCTATTGCCCAGCACAGAGTGTTGGCTGCTATTACCATATTTACTTATCTTACATCCCAATAGCATTTTCATAATTTGGGCAGTGATGTACACTGTTGATGTTTTAGCAGTCCACCTTCTGAGTTTTCTCTCTTCCACAGCGATCTAAGGCTTTCAAAATTCTGACTAGAAGCAGAGCTGTGTCTGGATCTACACCTCGATATGTGCCCAGAAGCGGAGTCTGGGTTGCAGATTCCAAGATCACTGAGGTGATAAGAATAGAATTGTTCAGAGCATGGGGCAGCTAAGTCAGACAGATCTGTGCTGAATTTTCTGCCACTTACTGATGTGTGACCTTGGGTTAGTTGTTTAACCTCTCTGAGACTTCCTTTCCTTATCTATAATGAATTTGGCATTAATATTTATCTCAAACTGTTGTTTATGAGGACTCAATGAAGATTTGAGAAATCATTCAAACTCACCCAGGTAATAAGTTGTAGACTTGGAAATCTGACACAGATATGTTAACCTCAAAATCCATGGTCTTTTCACTGGTCCATTTCCTGAGATGCTCAAATCCCTTTACTTGTCTGGAAAAGACACATATTCAGCCCTAATAAAATGTAGTATATACATAAGATAATGTCTTACCTTCAGCTAATTATAAACTATAAAAGACAGCTGTTGCTCACTCAGACTCCTCTGGAACTCTGAACTAGAAATGCTCCAGATAGAGCTGGAGATGTTGCCAGGGAGTCAACCCTTCCCAGCTGCCTCTTCCTTCTCTCAGCACAGGGGTGGAATTAAGCCCTGTGTAACTAGGGAGGCCATACAAGGAAGAGAACTTCTCCACTGGAATGCTTGTCATTTTGCATGTGGCAGAATGTAAGTGGGAGGACTGGAGGTTTAGCCCAGTGTAGGGCACTTGCTCACCATGCAGGAGGCCCTAGATTCAATCCCCATTACCTCAAAAACCACAAAAAGTAAGTGGGGCTTATTTCTGACATGTCTGCTAAATTCCTCACACACTTGCTCTCGTTTCTGCACAGCAACCTCTGTTAAGCCAGGCATGGTGACACATACCTGTAATCCTAGCTCTCTGAGAGGCTGAGGCAGGAAAATTGCCAGTTTGAGCCTAGTCTGGGCAATTTAGTGACTTACCATATTAACACTGTCTCATAATGAAAAATAAAAGAAAGGGCTGAGGATGTAGCTCACTGCGAAGATACGGGGTTCAATCATGTACTGCAAAACAAAACTAAACTAAACTAAAAAATGCCGGGACTGAGCCAGTCTTACTCCCTGCCAGATAGTCACCTTTGAAGTTTTAGGAATGTGGGTGCCTAGATTACTAAGACATTTTATCTTCTCTTTACTTGATCACACGTAATTAAGAAGATGTGATAGCACATTATTAACATTCTCCTGCTGTTAAATCTAATTAAATCCTTTCATTTAGGAAAACAAGAGTATAAGGCAGTTTTTCCATATGGCTCTCAGGCCCAACTCTCCCTCTGCAGCTCTTCTTAAGGAAGTAGGCACACCATATGTTCTGATTGCTACCTTTAAACTTCCTGAACTTGGCCTTCAGTGTGGAACCTCTGCTTCCTGGCCCTTATAGGAAGGAGACAAGAGTGCACAGTGGTGAAGAACCCAGCCTTTCAAGCTGACCAGACTTGAAAAAAGCTTACCTTGGCGCTAAGAGAACTAGCACCAGTTATATCTGTTATTACAGCTGAGTTTCAGCATAGCTGATCTGGTCTCTTCCCACTAGCTCCTGATGGAGTCTCACAAGTGTTGTAAGTCCATGTTTTCGGAATCAGATGTAGCACATTACAGACACTTATCCAATATTTGCTAAGGATAGAATCAGGCATTCTGATCCACATCAAGAGGACCATGGTAGGGACCAATGTCTCCAAGTAAAGTGTACCATGATCTTTAAACTTAGAATTAACTAAACTAGTCTACTGAGCTCCAAAAAAACCCAAATGATGATTTTGTTAAATCTTTTTAAGAAACTAAAACTAGATCTGAAGCTGCCTCTCTTTCTTTCTTCCATATTTCCTTTATTCCTCTCTCCCTCCTTTCCTTCCTTCCTTCCTCTCTTCCTAAATTAGTCTGCTAAATCCCCAAAAGAACCTAATGACCAAGTTTTATCCCCTTAGGACTAGGTTTATCACTTCTTTACTTTCCCCTCCCCTCCCCTCCCTCCCCTCCTCTGCTCTCCTCTGCTCTCCTCTGCTCTCCTCTGCTCTCCTCTGCTCTCCTCTCCTCTCCTCTCCTCTCCTCTCCTCTTCTTTGCTTTTCTCTCCCCTCCTTCCTTCTCTTACTTCTTTCCAGGGTTCAAACCCAGGGCCTCATACATGCTAGGTGAGTGCTCTGTCTCTGAGCTATACCCTAGCCATACATCTGTAAATTTTCTTAAAATCTTTGAAAAATAAATCTGGGCATTTTTAAAAAAAATAAATGTTGACAAGCTTAAGATAAGCAATCACCATGATCAGATTCTGGTCCAGAAAATTCCTGGAATAATAGGAGCAAGGAATGTCACTTTTCATGCCAGTCCCAGGCTCAGATTCTCCCCACAGATTCACCTTACCAAGAACTGGACTTTATACAAGACACAAAATTAAAACAAAAATCAAAATCAAGCAAGATTTTTAGTTAATACTAGTAAGGAGATAACACTGGAATTCTGGTTTGGATCACATAAGCAACTTGAAGTTTCTGCCTTTGGGGATTGGCAAAAGTGTGCAGCAACTCAGGTTAACCAAAGCTGTTAGTCTTTGCTTTAGGTAGATACTAGAAATGAAGGCAGGGCAGTAAGTCATTCTTTCCTGGGCCTATTTTTTTCCTATGAGGTTTTTATTTCTCCAACAATTAAGGAATGAGACAACAGCAGTAATCTGGGAGAAATCATGCAATGTTCAACTTTTTCCTTCTCTTCCCCTCTTTGACAGATCCCACCACTGCATCCATGCCAACGCAGCCTCAGCCCACCTCTTATCCAATCTGACAAAATTTCTAAGGAATTTGAAGAGTTCTCTGTTGATGATGAGTTACCTGACAGCCAAGAAATGAAGGTTTCGTCACACAAGCTCTTGACAGCAAAGAAGGTATTCGCTACATTCTAAGAGATGAGTTGAGAGAGAGTCCCCCATCACAGACATAATTTCTTCTTGCATTCTCTTTTCTACTGCTATAGCTCAAAGTAATGGGGAAGTTAGAGTGATTATTTGTTTTGGGAAGGAACTGCCACTCTTGGCTTTTGTTTTACACTTTGGTTTCCATTTTCCATCCAATCTCACAAATCTAACACTCACTATTTTCATTTTTAAACAATGGAGGACAGTTTTTCAGAAAAAGTAGTAGTTTGCAGGTGTTTTCAGTTATTTTATCAAAACAAAAATAGTGATGTTTTGAAGTACTGGGAACTGAACTCAAAGTCTTAACACTGAGTTACATCCCAAGGCTTTTTTACGTTTATTTTTTTATTTTGAAACAGTTTCATTAAGTTGCTAAATTGCCTATGCTGAGCTCAAATTTGCAATCCTTTTACCTTAGCCTATCAGAGTGTGAGATTACAAGAGTGTGCCACTAACCTCAGTTTAAAAAAAAAATAGAGATTTTTAGTGCAAAGCCTCTTTACTTTCCAATTCAAAAATCTCAAAGGTTCAGGCATGTGACATTATTTGACAGACATACCTCCAAATGAAAAATCAGTTGGCACATGAGAGGCTATGTCTGTATGTTTATCTTCAGGTCTGCTAACCAAGTAAAATCTATCACCAATTGGAAAATTAGTAGATTTTACTCATATCAACACTTTCATTTTCGAATTTAATTTAATTAGTTGGGTTATACTTGGAAAGGATTTCAGACTGATACAGATTTTAGAATAATTAATCTTGGGAACTAAAAAGTAAACAGAATCAATTTATAATGAAAATTACTGGTTAGTATTATGGATTAGTATTATGGATTAGATCTAAAATGTCCCCCAAAAGTTTCCTCTGTCCAAAGGTGGAGCCTAGTCAGAAAAGGTAGGCCACTGAGGCATCTTTTTGTTCCCAGATGCTCTTTCTCTTTCTGCTTCCTGGTCCCATGAAATGTGCCGTTTTTCTCTACCATTCCTGTCTATCATGCTGTTTCTGTCCTAGAGTCAGCTGACCATAGACTGAACCCACTAGAACTATGAGCCAAATAAATCTCTCCCACTTTAAACTGCACATTTCAGATATTTCGTCCCAGGAACAGGAAAGGGACTAGTACCACCAGTCAGAATAAGACACTACTTTGTTGTTAGAAGATCCTATGAATGGAAACAACCTTTGGTTATATATGTAAAAAAATAGGCTAGGATCTAAAATACAGACTGACGGGGCTGGGGATTTAGCTCAGCGGCAAAGCGCCTGCCTGGCAAGTGCAAGGCCGTGAGTTCGGTTCCCGGTACCGGAGAAAAACCAAAAATAAAAAATAAAAAATAAAATAAAATAAAATAAAATAAAATAAAATACAGACTGACAATAGATGGATATTCATTGAGTTATGGATTTGGGACATAATTATACATATTTTCTGCAAAATACCACTAAATCAGGTGAGTTGGAATGGACAGTCTGAATAGGTAGAAGAATTGAATTAAATAGTATTTTTATTGTGGGAAAATACAGATGACATAAAATTTACCATTTTAACCATTTTAGAATCTATAATTCAGTGACATTACATGCATTCACAATGTCATACAAGCATCACCACTATCTAGGTCCAGAACTTATTTGGTTCTCTCAAATGGAAACCCAGTACCTATTAAGCAATGATATGCCATTCCTATCTTCTCATAAGACCCTGACAACTAATTTGCTTTCTGTATTTTCCTATTCTGTTCATTTCGTATAAAAGGAATCATTCAGTATGTGGCTTTTGTGACTGGGTTGTTTCAATTAGCATAATGTTTTTGAGATTCATTCACATCATAGCGTGTATCAGAACTTCATTCTTATTTATTGTTTCATAATACTCCGTTGTATGAGGTACCATGATTTGTTTAGCTCTTCATCCATTGATGGACATTTGTGTCCCATCTAATTTTTGGCTATTATGGATAGTGCTATGATAGCATTGTGAACATTCATGTACAAGTTTTTGTTTCAACACCTATTTGCAATTTTGGGGGGTATATACCTAGGGATATAATTGGTAGGTCATGTGGTAATTATATGTTTGAGTTTCTGAGGAATCACCAAAGCATTTCCCCAGTAACTATACCACTTTGTATTACATTCCCACCAGCAATGTATGAGAGTTCTAATCTCTCCACATCATAGCCAGTACTTGTTATTTTCCTTTATAAAAAAATTACAATCATGCTAGTGGATATGAAGTAGTAAACTCTTTGTGGTTTTGACTTGCATCTTTCTAGTGACTAATGACTAATGATATTGAGCATCTTCACTTGTGCTTGTTGGCCATTTGTATATCTTCTTTGGAGAAATATTTACTCAAGTCTTTTGCCCATTAACTAATTGGGTTGTCATTTGTTGTTGAGTCATAAGAGTTCTTTATATATTGTGAACACCAGACCTTTATCCAATACGTAATTTGTGAATGCTATAGTTTCCCCATTTTGTGAGTTGCCTATTAACTTTCTTTCTTCATTGTGGTTGAACTACAACTTTTAAAAATTTTTTGATTAAGTCCAACTTTTCTATTTTTTCTTTCACTATTTGTGCCTCTGATATCATATCTAGTTGCAAGATCTAAGATCATAATGTTTACCTTTGTTTACTTCTAGGATTTTGATGGATTAGCTCTTACATATAGGCCTTTGGTTTATTTCAAGTTAATTTTGTATGTGGTGTGAGGTAAGGATGTGATTTTATTCTTTTTCATGTGGATACAGTTGTCCCAGCACCAATGTTGAAAAAAATATTTATTTTCCATTGAAATTTTTTGTTGTCCTTGTTGAAAATCAATTGCCTTTAGATGAACAGATTTATTTCTGGATTCTTAATTCTATTATTTATCTATAAATCTATTCTTACAGTACTGTGCTGTGTTGATTACTATAGTTTTGTAGTAACTTTTGAAATTAGGAAGTAGAAGTTCTCCAATTTTGTTCCTTTTCAAGATTGTTTTGGCTATTCAGGGTCCCTTGTAATTCCCTATCTGATTCACTTTTCCATATCTTCGAAAAGGACTACTGGAGTTTTGGTAAGAATTACATGGAATTTGTAGTTCTCTTTGGGAGGTATCAAACCATGAATATATGATTTTATTGAGGTTTGAAAAATTTCTTTCAGTTATATTTTGAAGTTATATTGTATAAGCCTTGCTTTTCCTTGGTTTAGTTTATTCTTAAATATTTTATTGTTTTGATGCTATTGCAAGTGAAAGTCTTTTGTTAATTCCCTTTATGGATGTATCATGTTTATAAATACAACTCATTTTTGTATGTTGATCATGTATCCTTCAACCTTGATGAATTCATTTGTTAGTTTTAATATGTTCATAGAGATTCCTTGGGACTTTTCTGTACATAAAATTCTGCCAACTGTGAATAGTTTTATGTTCATCTCCAATTTGGTATTTTTTCTTTTTTGTACCAGGAATCAAACTCAGGACCTTGGGCTTGTCAGGCAAAAACTGTGCTGCTGAACTATATCCCCAGCCCTTCATCTCCAATTTGGATAGCTTTTGTTTCTTTTTATTGCCTAATTGCTCTGGCTAGACCTTCCAGTAGGATGTTGAATAGAAGTGGCAAAAACAGATATCCTTGTCTTGTTCCTGATCTTAAGGGAAAGCTTCTAGTCTTTCACAATTAAGCATGTTACTGGTAGATATTTTTCATGTATACCTTCTAGATCTAGTTTATTAAGGGCTTCTTTTTTACAGCGAAAAGATGTTAGATTTTGTTAAATGCTTTTTTCTGCATCAATTGGGAAGATCATATCTTTATTCATTTTGTTAATGTGCTATATTACATGAAATATTTTTTATATGTTGAGCCATCCTTGCAATCGTTAGATAAATACCAGGTAGTCACAATTTATAATCTTCTTATTGTTCTGTTGGATGTGGTTTGCTAGTATGTTTGCATGTGTTTACAAAAGGGCAGTTGGCCTATAGCATTCTGTTCTTGTCTCCTTTATCTGACTTTGATATGGTAATGCAAGACTCAGAATCAGTTAGAAAGTACAGGTATTCCTCTTGTTCTCTTGGGGGAAAATTTTGTGAAAGATTGATACTGATTCTTTAAAGTGTGGTAGAATTCATCAGCAGAGCATCTGGTTTTGGTGTTTTCTTTATTGTGAAGTTTTGATTACAGATTCAATCTTTTTACATGTTTTGGTTTATTCAGATTTTTCGTTTCTTCTTGAATCAGATTTGGCAATTTGGGTGTTTCTAGAAATTTATCCTTTTTATCTGGGTTATGTAATGTGCTGGCATACAAATGTTAATAATACTGTCTTATAATTCTTTTTTATTTCTTTGAGATCAGCAGTAATGTTCCCACATTCTGATTAGAGTAATTTGTATCTTCTATCATTTTCCCTTTTCAGTCTAGGGAAAACTTGTCAATTTTTTTGAAGAAAAGACTTTTGGTTTTGTTGATTTTCTCTATCATTTTTTATGTCTTTTACTTTATTTATTTCTGCTTTAATCTGTATTATTTCTTTCCTTCTACTAGTTTGAGTTTTGATTTTTCTTCTTTTTCCAGCATTTTAAAGTAGAGATATTTTATAATTTTATAATTACATAAAATTTTATATGTTTTACAATTTTCCTTTTGTTTTATTCTTTAACCATCTTTTCTTTTTATTTTATTCTTTTCAGTTTAAATTTTTTTTGTTAGTACGTGTTTTAATTACCGAATCACTACATCTCATGTGGGATTTGGTGTATATAAATACTACATCTTAATTTGTTTTTCATTCCCTTTCCCTTCCTTCTGATATAGGGGAGAAAAACCCCAACCTGAATGGTATCTGGGATGAGTTTGTGTTCTCTAAAATTGAAGAATGAATTTTGGGAACAACGGAGGTTAAGAGCAGAATATATTTATTGAGGGAAAGAAAGCTTTTGTCAGAGAGAGGGACAGAAGTGGGGCCGG